CTGCCCTAATCTTGGGCAGAGCACAAGTTATTTTAGAGATAAAGATAGAAAATACATATATCAATACAGAATTTTAAACTAAACAATGCGAGAGTATGCTGGGGAAAATCATGAATTCAGAATGTGGCTAGTTTGAGATGAAAACCTGAATCCATCAGGGTTAATTCCTGCAAGCGATTGAAATCATCTGTGGATAACATACACCGAAATGGAATTTATTTCAAATAGACACAGAATTAAAAGTAGTAGGAAGATAGAAGAATGGGTTTATAAAATAGGTAGGAACCAAAAGAGCTCCAGAAACAAGGTAATATAGGAAATGCACGTATAGCTAAGCCACACAGTTTGCATATCACCACACTGCTGCAATGAGGAAAGCTTCCAGGTTGAAGAGTTGGTAGGTGTGGATGGGATGCGAGGAGAGGAGACCATGTCAAGCATTATAAAAGGAAATCCCTTAGTCAGCAAGGAGTTTGATATGTTTCAGGAACTTTCAGAAAGCCAGAGTAGCTCCAGTAAATCATGGAAAAAGAATATATCAAGATAAGGACAAAAGTCAGAATGTGTCAAGTCATGCAGAAGATTGTAGGATAAAATCCAAAATCTTTTTTTATTTCAGCATATTATGGGTATACAAATGTTTAGGTTACGTATGTTGCCCATACTCCCCCCTCCGTCCCCCACGCTTGAGTCAGAGCTTCAAGCGTGTCCATCCCCCAGATGGTGCGCATCACACTCATTATGTATGTATATACCCATCCTATCCTTCCCCCTCCCACCTGCCTGATGCCGGATAAATGTTATTCTTATATATGCACTGAGGTGTTGATCAGTGAAACCAATTTTCTGGTGAGTACATGTGGTGCTAGTTTTTCCATTCTTGGGATACTTCACTTAGTAGAATGGGTTCCAGCTCTATCCAGGAAAATATAAGAGGTGCTATATCACCGTTGTTTCTTAGAGCTGAATAGTACTCCATGGTATACATGTACTACATTTTATTAATCCACTCATGAATTGATGGGCACTTGGGTTGTTTTCACAACTTTGCAATTGTGAAATGTGCTGCTATAAACATTCGAGTGCAGGTGTCTTTTTCATAGAGTGACTTTTGATCTTTTGGGTAGATGCCCAGTAGTGGAATTGCTGGATCAAATGGTAGATCTACTTATACCACTTTAAGGTATGTCCATATTGCTTTCCACAGAGGTTGCACTAGTTTGCAGTCCCACCAGCAGCAGTATAGGAGTGTTCCTATCTCTCCGCATCCATGTTCCTATCTCTCCATCCATCCAAAACATTTATTGTTTTGGGACTTTTGATAAAGGCCATTCTGGAGATAAGTGATATCTAATTGCAGTTTTGATTTGCATTTCCCTGATGATTAGAGATGTTGAGCATTTTTCATGTTTGTTGGCCATTATTCTGTCTTCTTTTGAAAAATTTCTGTTCATGTCCTTTGCCCACTTTTTGATAGGGTTGTTTGATTTTTTTCTTGCTGATTTTCCTGAGTTCTAAATAGATTATAGTTATCAGCCCTTTGTCGGATGTGTAGCTTGCAAAAATTTTCTCCCATTCTGTGGGTTGTCTGTTTGCTCTCTTGACAGTTTCTTTGGCTGTGCAGTAGCTTTTTAATTTGATCAGGTCCCATTTGTTTATTTTTGTTGTTGCTGTGATTGCCTTTGGGGTCTTCTTCATAAATTCTTTGCCTAGGCCAATGTCTAGAAGAGTATTTCCAATGTTTTCCTCTAGGATTCTAATAGTTTCATACCCAAGGTTTACGTCTGTTACACAGTGTGAGTTGATTTTTGTGAGAGGTGAAAGGTGTGGATCCTGTTTCAGTCTTTTACATGTGGCTATCCAGTTTTCCCAGCACCATTTATTGAATAAAGATTCTTTTCCCCAGTGTATGTTTTTGTCTGCTTTGTCAAAGATTACATGGCTATATGAGGATGGTTTTATATCTGGGTTCTTTGTTCTGTTCCACTGATCAATGTCCCTGTTCTTGTGCCAGTAACAAGCTGTTTTAATTACTATAGCCTTGTAGTATAGCTGGAAATCTGGTATATTGATACCTCCCATTTTGTTTCTATTGGCTTGAATTGTTTTTGCTATACAGGGTCTTCAGCCAAGAAAATATATTAAGTATTTCTTACAAGGGAGAAAAAAAATAGATCTCTGTGTGTGTGTGTGATTTAAGTTCATCCTTACTGGTATTTGGAGAATGGATTTAAAAGCACCACAGTGTTATATGTATACCATGGAATACTACTCAGCTTTAAGAAACAATGGTGATATAGCACCTCTTTTATATTCCTGGATACAGCTGGAACCCATTCTACTAAGTGAAATATCTCAAGAATGGAAAAACAAGCACCACATGTACTCACCAGCAAATTGGTATTAACTGGTCAAAACCTAAGTGGATATATAGGAGTAACATTTATTGGGTGTCGGGAGGCAGGGAGGGGGGGATGGGTATATACAACCACAATGAGTAAGATGTGCAACATTTGGGGGATGGACACGCTTAAAGCTCTTACTTGAGGGAGAAGGAGGGCATGGGCAATATATGTAACCTTAACACTTTTACCCCCATAGTACTCTAAAATTTAAAAAAAATGAAGAAGGGAGTGAGAGAAATGAGGGAAAAGAAAAAAAATGTTTAGTATAAGATTTTTGGTCATCCATCTACTTTGTACCTCCTTAATTTATGTCACCAATACAGAAAAAAAAAAAAAAAAAGCACCACAGCGGGAAAAAAAACCAAGTAAAGCCATTTTAGAGAGTATATTTAATATAGTAGATGGGGTCTAGAAAAAAATTAGTGGAATTATTCCTAAACTGCAGTTTTCATGCAACAGAAGAAGCAAAAAGAAGAGGTTCTTACATAGTCCGTGAATCTACAAAAATTCTTAGGTTAAAAAAGGAACTAAAAATTTATTTTAAAAACTATTATGATTTATTTTCCTCACAATCTAATGGCTTCAAACTACAGTGAAAACTTCCTACTACAAAGTATTTAAAATTTTTGGTTAAAAAATAATAAACAAACTTTTACAAACCCATGGTTAAGCTGTTTGGAATAGAAAGAAAATCCTCAAAGGCTAGAAATGTGAAAATGCAACTCCATGAAAATAAGCAACAACTGAAGAAAGCATTTTACTTTAGTGCCTACAGAAAAACTTTAAAAGACAACAGACACAGAACAAACATCAGAGGCCTATGTAAGACTGGAATTCAAATCAGAGATCTGCATGGATTCAGGTGGCCCAGAAAGCTATCACCTTTTACAGATGAAGAGAAACATTCCCTCCTGAGTATTTCCAACAACTGGGACATGTCCCAGAAGGCCCCAGTAGGGCACAAATGGTACACTCCAGGCAACTGAGGAGGCTTTAATACAGGAAATATTAAATGTGTGAGTCGGGGAAGAAAAAGCACAAGCAAGGGATAGTGACATACCCAGGACTCATAACTATAGAGCTGTTGCTAACCCAAGACCAAAGTGACAAGTGACAGAAAGGGCTGTGACAATGTAGAAGGTGAACAACATGTGCAGAAGATTACCTTTGAGAGGAACCAAGACCTCCACCGAGACACAGAGTCAGCCTTAGGCAACCCTACTAGTCACCTCAACCCAAATGTAAATTATTAGGGCATGCAAGTTACTTGCCATTCCTGTTTCTCAGGTCCAATCAGGGTGATGATATTATGGTCGACCACTGTGACGTTACTGTAGGATGTGAAGATAATCAAGGTCCCTGTGAGCTATATGGTGACAGCAGAAAAATTAACATAGACTATGGCAAGGCAACCAATGTCCACTTCTATTTTTCCATGAAAAAGCCAACTGCTCACAAGCCACCTTCTTAGTGGCAGTGAAAAAGAAGGCAATCACCAGCTCAAGACCACATACCAAGTGCCAGAGTTTGGTAGATACTGTCTAGCAAAGACACAACATTCAGCACAGCAGCCACAAATTTAGGCTACCAGTGTTTACGGATATAGCAGTCCTCCATCATCCAGTATCATCCCTCTGGTTTTGCAACAGTCACATAGGCAAGTGCAAAAGGGAGATGACGGAGAATACCACTACCACATCTTTTATGACTCATCTGACACTGATCTCTAAAATTCCTTGTGAATTATTATTTTGGCTAAGACAGCTCCCAGGGTTTCCACTTGGTTCTTGCTATCACAATAGCTCTTACTCTCCAAGTCAAAGGATCTGTGTGAGAATTCTGCCACATCTATGCCCACGTCTATCCCAGCTATACAGTGTGGGGTTTGGGCTATAGTCACAGATTAGGTTTGTGCATTCTTTCAAATTACTGTGAAATGGGTTTGAGCTAAAGCTTCCTTTATCTTCTGTCTCTATAAGACCCTACTTTAACTGGATAACCATGATTTCCTTTTCCCTTGAGTGTCAGCTCAGACTTCAGATCTAAGAGTCCTCAAAGACTCTTCATACTCCCCTTTCTCCAGTGCACAGTAACCCTGCCACACAGCTAAGGCAACATTTGGCAAATAGGAGAATACTTGTCTTATACATATATGAACATATATCCATACCCTTGTGTTGGTGTTAGAATATTTCACTACAGATTCAATAGGCCCCTCAATGACTGGTTAATGTGCCTGTAAACTGACATGAATTTCTGTGCTGTGGGAGGAGCCAGGATCATATAATTTCAGAAACCCTAGTGTGCTTCACATTCACCTTGCCCTTAGGGACACCACAATATAGTAGCCACTGTTATAGAACCTATAGGTCAAGAAAATATAAGCACAAGGTAACCACTCTAGTATTGCTGCACATTTTGTAATTATATCATCTTCTTTCTATTAACTATGTGCTACTACCTGGTCTCTGCCATTCTGGAATTTCTACATCCCTATTGCTGTTGCTACGGCAGTGTCCCTAATTGTTGATTCTGCAAAGAGCCACCATCAAATATCTCAAGGATGTTAAGACTCTTTAACAGAGCATTCCTTACTGTTTTTAAGAAAGGAGACACCTGGTTGCTTTGGCCAGTAGAATGCAGCAGATGTGATGGTGCATCAGTTTGGAATCCAAGATTGGATTCAATTTAAGAAAAAACTCTATCAAATTCATTTCATATATGAGCTACAAGATATCAGGGAATTTATCATAAATGGCACATTCTCTCTCTTTTAATATGAAACTGTTATACTTCATTATGATGGAAATGTCAGACACCCTAAGATGCAGTCCATTATGTTGGGTTTATAAAACATGTGACTTCACATGCACATGGACTCACCGTAGTATTTCTACAAGTATTAACTCTACAGACATAGGCATTCTGAGGTGTGTGTGCACATGTGTCTGTTTCTCATTAACAAATATATTCCTAGGGGTGTAGGCACGATGGCTGACTAGAGACATTGGTGGCCAAAACGTCTCAGAAAGAAGAAAAAGTTTTAATTGAAGAAAACAGAGCTCAGGTGTAATTCTGGGGGGAAAGTGCCAGAACCTACCTGAGATTCCATGGGAAGAAGTTGCGGAGCGGAACAAGAAGGAGCACTCTCAAGGAAAGCAGTATAAACTGCAGGCAGATGCCTACATGCTGATAACTCTTCTCAAAAGAAACACTCTGAAATCACAGAGAAGCAATGTGGGATATTCAAAGTGAAGGAGAATGTGCCCAGGCGATACGTTTCACAAGGCTGAAGGTGACTGTAGGGAAGCATCTACGTGCTGGGAAGAATAGGAGGATAGAGCACTGGGGTGCTTCCAATTAAGCAGGAGAGTTCCCAGCAATGAACAGGTACCCTGCAGACCTGTTATCCCTGAGTTGAGAAAAGAGATTCCAGATGAGAATAAACCAGCAAAAGAAACTGGGCAACATGAAAAAACAAAACAGTTCAATACCCCAAGGGATTCACAATGGAGCTACAGTAGTAAACTCCAACCAAAGGAAAATTTGCATGAATGACAGAAATGGAATTAAGAACATGGATGGCAAATAACATAAATGAAGTTGAAGAGAGAGTTGAAAACCTACAAAGAAATGCCAAAGAAATATTTTGGGAAATTAATGAAAAAGCCGCTACAGAGCTACACAACATAAGAAAGGATATAATAGAATTTGAAGAAATGAAAGGATCATTTAGGGAATTTTCAAACAGCAGAAAGCTTCAGCAACAGATTAAACAAGTCTTTCAAGCTAACTCAGACATTTAAAGAGGCAGAGAAGGGAATTAAAAAGGCAGAACAATCACTTAGAGAGATATGGGACCATGCAAAGCAAACTATCATACAAAGCATAAGTATCCCTGAGGGAGAAGAAAAAAGAGATAAAAGAATGGAAAATCTATTAGAGGGAATTATTGAGGAACAATTCCCTGGTATTGTCAGAAATCCAGACATGGAGAGACAAGATGGACACTGAACACCAGGAACATTCATAGTGACTAGGACATCTCGAAGACACACAATATTCACCCTGGCCAAAGTAAAAATGAAGGAGAAAATTCTGCAAGCAGCACGCTGTAAGCAATGGACCTACAAAGGAAAACCCATTAGGCTAACAGAAAACTTCTCAGCAGAAACCTTAAAAGCCAGAAGGGAGTGGGGCCCAAACTTCAATCTTCTTAAGCAGAGCAACTGCCAACCTAGAATTTTGTACCCTGAAAATCTAAGTTTCACAATTGATGGAGAAATTAAGTCTTTTCCAGAAAGCAAACACTGGAGGAATTTGTCATGACCAGCTCTGCCCTGCAGAAAATACTCAGAACTGCATTATACACAAATCAGCACAATAGCTACCCACCAGTGTAAAATCACCCAAAAAACCTAAAGCCCACAACTCATAGAAAACAATACCACACAAGAGAAAACAAGGTAATAAGGCACCATGCAACAGATAAACAGAATAGCACCCCATCTATCAATTCTACCTCTCAACATTAATGCTTTAAAGGCACCAGTCAAGAGACCCAGGCTGGATGAATGGATGAAAACACACAACTCAAATATCTGATGACTCCAGGAGACACATCTAAACCATAAGGACACACACGGGCTCAATGTGAAAGGATGGGAAAAATATTCCACACAAATGGAAACCAAAAGAGAGCAGGTATAGCCATTCTCATCTCAGACAAAATTGACTTTAAATCAACACTGGTAGAGAAACACAAAGATGGTCATTATATAATGGTAAAGGGAGCAATTCAACAAGACGACATAACAATACTACATACATGTGCACCTACCACAGGAGCTCCCAGATACATAAAACAAATTCTACTAGAGCTAAGCAAAGAAATAAATATTAAATGGTTGCCTTATAACTCCAGGGACTTCAACACCTCACTGTCAGAGCTGACAAATCATCAAAGCAGAAAATAAATATAGAAACACTGGACTTAAATAGGACCCCAAAACAAATAGACCTAGAAGACATTTACAAAACATTCTACCTTAAAACTACTGAATATGCGCTCTTCTCATTAGCACATAGAACATTCTCCAAGACTGGTCATATTTTAGGCCACAAAACATGTATCAACAAATTTTAAAAAATCAAAATCATACCATGTATCTTCTCAGACCACAGTGGAATAAAACTAGAAATCAGTTCCAAGAATAGCACTCAATTCTACACAAAGTCATCGAAATTCAGCAACCTGCTGCTGAAAAATTATTGGGTCAATAATGAAATTAAATGAAAAACAAAAGATTCCTTTAGTGGAATGACAAAGGGTACACAAGCTATCAAAACCCATGGGCTTCAGAAAAAGCATACCTAATGGGAAAATTTATAGCCTTAAGTGCACATATCAAAAAGTCAGATCACAAATTAACAACCTAATATCGCATCTCAAGAAATTTGAAAAGGAAAATCAAACCAAACCCAAATCCAGCAGAAGAAACACAATAACAAAGGTCAGAGCAGATATAAATTAAATGGAAAACAAACCAAAACAAAATGCAAAAGGTCAGTGAAACAAAGATATACAAAATGTTTCTTTGAAAAGATATAAAAAATTGATAGACCTCTTGCTAGATTAATCAGGAATAGAAGACAAAGGACCCAAATAAGCTCAATCAGAAATAGAAAAGGAGATATTACCACTGAAAGCACAGACATACAAAACATCACCTGTGAATACTATGAAAATCTCCACACACATAAACTAGAAGATGTAGAGGAAAAGGACAAAATCCTTCAAAGACTCTACCTTCCAAGACTCAGTCAGGAAGAAATAGAGCTCCTAAACAGGAAAATAATGAGGAGTGAGATTAAAGCAGTAATAGAAAGTCTTCCAACAACAAAAATCCCCTGGATCAGATGGATTCACAGATGAATTCTACCAGACCTACAAAGAAAACTGGTGTCCATACTGCAGAATTTATTCTACAACATTGAGAAAGAGGGAATCCTCCCTAACTCATTCTATGAACACAGTATCACCTTGATACCCAAACCAGGAAAGGACAGAAGAAAAAAAGAAAACTATAAGCCAATATCCTTTATGAATATAGATTAAAACTCCTCAATAAAATACCAGCAAACTGAATTCAACAGCACTTCAAAATAATAATAATAATAATCCACCATGACCAAGTGGTCTTCATCCACTTGAACCTTGCAGGGATGCAAAGAAGGTTCAGTACACATAAATCAATAAATGTGATTCACCACATAAATAGGAGCAGAAACAAAGACCATATAATCATCTCAATAGATGCCGACAAAATAAGGCTGTAAATACAGATGAAGCTTCACTCACCTGCCCACCACTCACCTCCTGCCATGTGGCCCAGTTCCTAACAGGACACACACGGGTACCGGTACATGGCCGGGACGTTGTGGATGACAGCTATAGAGTACTAGTCGGTCATAAAAAAATGAATTAATGCCTTTTGCAGCAATTTGGAAGGCATTGGTGATGATTATCCTAAGCAAAGTATCTCAACAAAGTGTCTCAACAATGGACAAACACGACATGTACTCTATAACAAACTGGAACTGACCAATGGACACACAAATGCACTGAGGGAAGTAAAAGCCATTGGAAATCAGGCAGTGGGGAGACGAAAGACAGGAGGGGCAAAAACCCACCTAACGGTACAATGAACGCAATTCGGGTGATGGGCAC